CCCCCCCCCCCCCCACATACCCTAATGCCCCACACCTAACTCCCCCATCCCCACCCACCCCCACTCACCTATCACTTGCCCCCCCAGGCTCCCCACAGAGGCCGAGGCAGTGCTGCCAGTGGTGCCCGAAGTGTCCGAGCTGACCCTGGAGTTGCCCCCTGACAAGGAGGCCCTCACCCTTGCCACCCTACACAGGTCAGCAGAACCCTAGGGTTCCCTCCCAGGTCTAGGACAGGGTTGTGTGGGGGGGCTGGATGCCTGGGTTCTGCCCCTTCTGGCAAGGAGGGTTTGGGGATAGGGGAAGCCTAGAGCTGGAGGATTCTCCCCCTGCTTAGGGAGTGAGCACACAAGGGTAATGTAGACAGGCTGGGACCAGATGCCTGAGTTCTCTCCCAACTCAAAAGGTGGGGGGTGTTACTAAGCTTGGGAGCCCAGACTCCAGGTTTCCATCACCCCACACAGGACTGGGGGCTGCAGGGGCTGCAGCCTGGATACCTGGGTTCTCTTGGAGGGCAAGGGATTTGTTGGTAGCCTGGGGGTCCCATCCCATTCCGTCTGCCTCTCCCCCCCCAGGCTGGTTGGGGCAGAGCTGGAGCGCATGACGTACGTGGACTTTGCTGCCCTGGTGCCTGCTGGGGCCTCACGGGCCATCGCCAGCCGTGTCTTTTCCTTGTGCCTGGGTGAGTGGGACCCAGGGGTGAGAGCAGGGACAGGAAGTGCTGGGGGGACCCCCAGGTTTGAGGGAGCCCTGTCACTCACCCCTGTTCCCCTCCCCCCCAGATCTCTGCAGGCTGCAGCTGGTGCACCTGGAGCAGGCCCAACCCTATGGCCCCATCATGCTGTATCCTGGTGCCCGCTTCCAGCCCAGGTGACTGGGAGCACTGGGCAAATTTGTCTCCAGGGGCCTGCTGCTGTCCCAGGTGACACCCCACTCCCATTAAAGTGTTAGCTAACCATTGCTGGTTCACAAGAGAACCCAGGTGTTCGGGTCCCACTCCCTACTGCCAGAAAGGAACCAAAGGGTCCGGGCTCCCATCCCCACCTTCTCCATCCATCCATCCCTCCCTCCCTTCCCCGCCCCAAACCAACCAACCCAGGAGCCCTGATGTCCTAACCCATTGTCCCCCACTCCCCTCCCAGCCCGAGGAGGGAATCCAGGTGTCCTAGGCCCCCGGAGACAATCAGAGATGGCTCAGCCAAACAAATTTATTGCCAAGTGCAACATCCAAACCAACAATCAACGGGGGAAGGGGGGGTATTGCTTGGTGGGGAACTACCCCAGGGGGAGGGCTTTGACAAGACAGGCAGGCCCCCTTTTTACAGTCGGTTAGCGGGGTAGCAACCGTCTAAAGGGAAGGACGGAGCTACAGGCAACGAGCCCTGCCCCCCGCCCTCCCACCCAATGTCTGGGACCCCAGGACCAGGCTCCCCTTGGCACAGACAGACTGTGCTGACTGTAAGCAAAGTCCTCCATGACCAATGCCAAGGGCAGGGGGAGGGGGAAGAGGAACAAGTAAACCAGGTGTTACAGGCAGATCAGAGCCCCATGCCCTGGCTCCTTGGGCCTGCAGCAATGACAACAGGCGGAGGAGGCTGTTGCAGCCACACCGGTCCTGTGACCTGTGGAGATGGGCAAGAGGTACAGGCAGTGCCACACAAGTGGCACAGGAAGGGGGGACATGCAACAGGCTGACATGGAGAACATGGGGGACAGACTACAGGTAGACATAGGGAGGACATGATACAGGCAGACATGCAGGGACGGTGGTGGGGGGGAGATGGGAGTACATGAGATGACACAATACAGACATGCACACAAGGGCACGGGCATGTTACAGGCAGACAAGGGGAAAATGGGGGAGATGCACACTACAGACTGCCACAAAGGAGAACACAGGGAAGATGTGCTACAAGTGGACATGGGAGGCATGTGGACATGCAATGGAAGGACAGAGTGGGGGGAGGGATATGCAGCTATAGGAAAACACGGAGTGGGGAGGGAGGAGAGGGCGTGGACGTGATGCAGGCAGACACAGGAACAGAATGTACCACAGGTGAGAACATGAGGGATGTGCCACAGGCAGCCATGGGAGGTACAAAGATATGCTACAGGGGGAGGACATGGAGAGACATGCTACAGGCGGGCATGAAGGACACCCAGGGTCGGGGGACATGAACACGCTATGGGAGAACATGGGGGAGGACGGAGGACACCAAGCCGGGGGGGGGGCATTACTCACCTGTGGGGCAGTGGCAGCAGCTCAGGCAGGTGCAAGGGCCTGGCGCAGGCGGGCGATGGCCTCAGGGGGCTGGGCCTGCAGCGCGGCCTCTAGCTCGGGGCGATGACGGGTGGCCAAGTCCTGCAGCAGCGCACACAGGCCCTGCCCCTCCTCTGCCAGGGGAACATGGGAGTCAGTGTAGAGCAGTGCCCAGGGAGTCGGGGGGATGCACCCCCAGGAGTGGGGGTTCATTCTTACCTGGTGGTAGGTGCTGGGAGCCCAGGACAGCACCACTTGCCCGCACCACCTCAGCCACGTGTGGCTCCAGCTAGGAGGAGTGTGGGGGGGGGGGAGGCCTGAGTCGGAGGCCCCAGAGACTGCCCCCCAGGCACCCTCTAAAGCCCCAACAGAGACTCCCAAATCCCCCTCCAACCAGCTACAGACACCCCAGTGCCCCCTCCTAGATCTCCACAGATGCCCCCCCCACAAACACCAATGCACCCCTGGACCCTTATACATACCCCAAGACCCTCTCCCCGCAGGCCAGCAAGCACTGCTCTCAAGAACCTCCCACAGCCCACAGACAACCCCAGGGAGCCCCCCCTGCCCCACAAAACCTCCCCATGGCCCTGCACCTCCAGGCTAGCTGGAGCCCTGGCAGCCCGATGCCCCCACTGGCCCACGGGGAGGGGGGACGGGGGGGGCAGTGGGTGTCATCACCTCGTGTGGCTGGTGCTGGTGCAGGGCGCAGAGGCAGCGCACCACAGTTGGCGTCTCCTCTAGGTCCTCGGACAGTGGCAGGGCCCCCAGCAGCACCGGCACCACCTGCCCAGGCACTCATCACCCCAATGCCCCGCTACAACCGCAGCCCCCAGGCCTCCCCACATCAGCCCCCAGTGTCCCCTCAATCCCCACCCCCGCACCTCCCACTGCCCCAGGTCCCTCCACTGCCCACTGGCTCACCTGGGCCAGGGGCACAGCCTGGGGTTGGGCAAGCACCAGGCGTGCCAGGGCCCCGCAGACGTTGTCACGTACACGGCCGCCCGATTCACGCACCCACAGTGCACCCAATGCTGCCAGCACTGCCCCGTAGAGCCTGCCTACTGTCAAGGAAGGGGCCGCCAAGCAGAACCTCCCTCCAGCACCAGGCCCTACCCCCCAGTCCTCCAGACCTGCCACAACTACCCTGCCCCCACCCCCCCCCAGGCCCTCTGGCCATGGCCCCAGACCCTACCTCCGCTCCCAGGCCCCTCAACCCCCCACAAAGGTAGCCCCACCCCTTGCCCTGCCTCCTAGCCTTGCCCTTTTGGCCCCTAGCCCCGCCCCTGCCTCCAGCCCCACAGGTGGGTGAGGATACGGGAGGGCAGCGCTGGGTGCGGCCTCGGCCATCTTGCCCAGGGCAAAAGCAGCGTTGCTGCGCACCTCGGGGTGGGCGTCGTGGGCAGCAGCCAGCAGGGCAGGCACCAGGCGGGGCAGGAAGGGTGCTGCTGCTCCCCCCAAACCCCCCAATGCCTCTGCCAGCACCCCTGTGCCCAGTGACCGCTCTGCCACCCCACTGCTCGGCTTCTGTGGGAAGGGAGAAGGGAGGCGTTCAGTGCTAGGACACGGGGTCCTACAGTGGTCAGGGGTCGACACTGAGGTCTCAGGCTTCTGGAAGCCCAGTGTTCGAACCCTGGGGTCCTACAGGGGAGGGGAGAGCAGGGCAGGGCAGGGAGAACTACCCAGGCACCTAGATCCTACAACGGAGCACTTGGGTGCGAGGCCTTGCCTGGACATTTGGGTTTCCCAGTGTAGAGCAGGTGGGTGAGGTGACCCGGGCACCTGGGTTCCATGGAGGGGGGGGATGGAGAGGGGCACACTAACCAGCTTGCTGAGCAGCAGGGGCAGGAAACCAGCGAAGTAGGGGGCAAAGGCATCACCCCCGGCGGCTACAGCAAGGGCTGGGATCACCTCACCCGCGTACTCCTCCAGCATTGCATCGTACTCGGCCTGGAGTGAGCGGGGATGGGGTTGTCAGTCCCAAGAGCACTGCTGCGGGAAGATTGCAGCCCCCAACCCAGCCCCAGCAGCCCTTAGGACGCGCCCTCCTTCCCAGAGCTGGGAGAGAACCCGGGCAGCCAGCCCCCTACCCGCCTCTGCGCAAGCCCAAATACATTTGCATATAGTCAGTAAAAAAACCAACAAAATAACTGAAAAGGTCTGTCAGTAAAAAAAAGGCTAAATAAACTGATCTGTAAAAAGTGGGCGGTAAGGCTGGCGAGAGGGACTAAAGCAGGAAGCGGATTATGGCTGGAGTGGCGTAAGCCTGGTAGGACAAGGCAATGGGGCAACAAATGGAGGTATCAGGGGGTGTGAGGGTAGGAGAACCCTGTGCGGGTGCCATAGACATGTTGCAGATACAGATGACTGTTAGCAACCCCCCTAAACGTGACCCCAAAGCCTCGTCATGGCTGCCAAGCACCTGGCACAAGGGACAGGCTTGCATCACATACAACACGGGTCAACAAGATCAATAAGAAGGCTCTGTGGTTGGGATGCAGACATGGGAAGAAGCCCCAGCGCCGATGCGCAACACTCACCTGCTCCTCGTCGTCATCATCATCTTCATCTGCCTCCTGGCAGGCTGTCTGTGTGGGGGAGCGGAGAGGACTGTGAGCTTCCCCCACTGGCAGTGCCCCCATCACCCTACTTCCCAGGCCCTGAGCTTCCTCTAACAGTGCTTCCATTGCCCTCCAGGCTGTGAGCTTCCCTTGGCAGTGCCCCTACCCCCCCAAACTGTGAGCTTTTTCTAAGTGCCCCCACATCCCCTGCCCCAGGGTGAGCTTCCTTTAACAGTGCCTGCACTGCCCTGCCAGGCTGTGAGCTTCCATACAGCAGTGCCCCCATCCCTGTCCAGCAGTGCCCCCACCCTCCAGGCTGCAAGCTTCCCCTAACAGTGCTTCTACCCCCACACCCCCAGGCTGAGAGCTTCCTTTAACAGTGCCTTAACACCTCCCCACAAAGGCTGCAGGGTGCCCCTACCCCCAAGCTGCATGCTTCCACCCCAACCTAGGCTGTGAGCTTCCTCTAACTGTTCCCATTGTTCCCCCCAGGCTGTGAGCTTCCTCTAACAGTACCCCCACCACCCTGAGACTGCGAACTTCCTCCTAGCAATACCCC